CTATCCAAAAGCTCAAAGGCACTTCACAATCAAGGTTGATGGAGACATGGAGAAGAGCCCTGGACTCTAGAAAGGTTGTGGCCACAGCATTTAGTGATTTTAGGAAGGCCTTTGATAGTGTACCTCATGCTACTCTGTTAAAGAAGCTCAAAAGAGACTCTGGCATTATGGGTACACTACTGGACTGGTTAAGAAACTATTTAAATGGAAGGCAACAGTTCACAGTAGTAAACGAGGTTAGCTCAGATCTGATGCCGGTGACTATTGGTGTACCCCAGGGTTCTGTATTGGGCCCGACATTATTTAACATATTTACAAATGACTTGCCATCGATGGTTCAATCAGGGTCGCTATATACGTTCGCCGATGACCTGACAGTTTTCTGCATCAGAGACTCAGCAGACCTGGCAATTGCACAGTTAAATTGGGCTTTACACGAAGTTTATACTTGGTGCCTAAACAACCAGCTAATACCTCACCCTGGTAACAGTGAAGTGATGCTGCTCAGGTTGAGAAATCTGATGTGCCCTATTGCTCCTGCGTTCTTAGGAAGTTTTAACCTTAGTTGGGTCTGGAAAACACGCTTGCTAAGGTAAGCCTGACAGTCAGGCACAAGCTTACAATAATAATAATAATAATAATAATAATAATAATAATAATAATAGTGTGTCTTTATTGTTCAAAAGATAAAATTACATATCTTATGTTACATTAAAAAGGATGTAAATAAGCTTAGGTGTATCTTTTACAAAGCTACATTGTACTTAAAAACAATTCTATTAAAAAAGGTATTCTTAAAACGGTTCGTGCCAATGGCGGGCATTACAGGGGATTTATTTCTTAGATTATATCTCGTAATCTTGGTTTCAGGGAAGTAGGCTCTAAGAGGGTGGCTAAGGATAGTAGAAACCTTGCTACAAATTTTGTGATCTTGCACACCACAGGGACACCACATGTTCTGGAATTCAAAAACAATTTTGCAGCTAAGAAAGACTTATTGAAACGATCTAGATTTATACAGATAAAGGTACTACGCGATTTTTATTTTAAAGTAATCATGCCATCCATACAGTATGGTCAATTATTTTGGGGTACATGCAGTAATTTGGATTTGTTATATGTTCCCTAGAATGATTCCACTGCAAAGCAGCTAGAATTATCTATAACCTGCCTAAAGACATGGCACCATGCAACATGCTCAATTATAACCACTTGTCTACTCTGTTTTCACTCTACAAGATGGATATTTTTAAACTTTTCTATAAAGCACATAACGAGTCTCTCCCAATATTATTATACAAGGATATTTACATCAAATGTTCCACTGGCTATTCCTTGAGAGGAGACGATTCACTGATAGTTCCAAGATTTAATACTAGGTTTATGAAAGATTCCCTTGCCTATAGAGGTGCAATCTTTTGGAACACTATTAGCTTAAATGAACATAATATCTTGCACAAAAACCTGAATGAGCTGTTTTGAAATTTGAAAACAAAGCCTGACATTGAAACTTCATTAGAGAGTTCTCTGATACCTTATGACCACTACTGTGCAGCGTGTAAAAGTTAAGTGTCATGTCCAAGAACACAGCAGTGTCCAGCCTAAGGTTTTACAAGCACTGTTCTATTTAGAATCCATAGTGATATTGACTGCTTTGGCAGAGATCATGATTGTAAGATAGATTACATACCCATATCAGCACAGTGACCAATGCAGAGTGCTGTATTTCCTATGATGGTCTCGTCTGTAGAATGAAGCAACTGAACCAAGAAGTCCAAAGCTGAAACAGGAGAACACTTTGTGTTGTACAACTGTACACTGACAGATAGCATGGAAAAGGAGACAATCAAACTTTTACTTGTATTCAGTCAGAGGGCAACACAACTTTAAAATATTCCAATCTTGAGGGCCTTGGGAGTATCTTGAATTTTTTTTTTTTTTCTCAATATTATGGGTACCTGTATGGCCTTCCTTATGGATCGAAACCAGTGTGTACTTTCATTCTATTTATCAATCCACCAAAATTCCAGTCCCCGTAGCAGACAGTAACTAGGAATAATATAATTACTCTTTATTGAGAAGCAAGGGTGTTGCTACTTTGTTAGAATCTCATGCATACACCAGTATTTCCTCAAAAAATGTTTTAAGAGTTAAATGTCTAAGACCCTAATCAAGGTTTGAACTCTCTTAATTATAAGTCAGAGTGCTACATTCTTTCCCTGTGTACCTTTTTCACTGAGCACAGCTTCTCTTACGTCTTTTCTCTCCATTGTGCACAGTGCCAGTGACTTGATGGAATATTTTTTTACAGTTTCTCTTGTGTTTGCTCCCCAACCAACCTGAAAATGGCTGCTTAGGATGACCAACTGTGAATTAAATTGAACAAAAACTTATTAACATCAACATGCATTGGCAATCTCTCAACCTTGTGGTAGCCTGCAGACATAGTAGAGGCGAAAAATTAGGAGGTGGGGGGAGGTGGAGGAGGGGAGGTGGGTGATGAGTAGAGAGGGTGTTCACTTGCTTGACTGTTATTTCCTCAAGGAAGAATGGTGGTTTCTTGCAACGTAGGCAGGAAACGCCTTGGGCAGTGATTATTTATCAGATGTGCAAAACGTAGTCATTCGAACAGGAACGGGAACAACTAAGACTGTGGAAACTATCATTTT